CCCAAAGCGGCATCAGCCGGGGCGCAGCCCTCACAGCAGTGCCAGTGAGGGCAGGCAAGAAGCGCCCTTGTAATTCCTGAGGAGCTTGAGGTACAGCATGAGCCAGCAGGAAAAAAGATGCTTTTCTTAAAGCCTCCAGCACAAATCCAAGGGGAAGGAGGACAAGTTTGCCACGGGTGTTGGGGGTTTTTTTTTTTTTTTTTAATTTACACCCATAAGAAGGTGCCACAGGTTTCTGTGTTGACAGAGCTGGTAGAGAAGCACAGCGGGAAGGGTCCTGTTGAGGCAGGACCCGCACAGAGATGCTCCCACTGCTCTGTGGCAATGGCTGCCTGTTCTTGCCAGAGGCAGCTGCCCTTCCCCTCCCGCAAGCAGCAGGAGCGGCTGAACTCATGGTCTCTGCCTCACTAACGCTGCCTGCCTGGAGGAGGAAGCGGGACCCAGCCATCTGGCTTGCTGCCACAGGGGCAGGAGGCAGCTGGTTTTGCGGGGAAGAACCAGCTACTCATCCATCACAGCAGCAGGGGCTCAGTTTCCTGCACTGTCTGACGCAGCAGGCAGTGTTTGCTCAGAGAGAGACTCCTCCAGAAAAAATGCAAGGGCTAGAGGGAAGCAACCCCGTGGACCAGGTTACCTCCTGGAGCAAGCTGATGTAAGCAAAGTAGTCGGACACAAGGGATAAACACGGCTTAGCTCAACCACTTGCTAAGAGCTTATCATCACAAGCAGGTGGGTCTGCAAAGAAGCACCTCCTCACACCACAGGTGGCAACAAATGGACCAGGCAGACTTTTGCTTCTTCCCCAAGACTGAATCTGAAACCAGAAAAGCAGCATTCAGCACATATGTGTGCAACATCAGGAGTCTCAGGGAAGACTTCTCTTTCAAAGTAAACTGCAAAGTATTACTTCTACAAAATTACTGACTACTACGCAGAATGATCCCGGTATTTACCCAGCTCAGCCACTGTAGATCAATGAGCATGATAAGCTGACCACAGTGGGCAGCTTCCTGGTTGTGAAGCATCAGAGCTCAGACAAGCACGTGGAAAGGTTCGGGCTTTGCTGCTCTATTAGAAAAGGGTAAGTAAGGTTCCACCTTTATTCTCCAGGAAAACTTTGTTCTGTTAAACTGGGCTGTGTTTGGCAGCCACAATCACCGCTACAGTCACTGCGCAGCTCAGGGAAGCATGGCGTAATCGTGTCATTAAGCAGGGTGGATGCTGGCTTTCTAATCGCAGCTAACGTAACTCATCACACTGGTCTCCGAGGCACAGAGGCACGCAGAGGGGTAAAAGCAGATGGTTTGTTTCATTGTGTACCTTGAAGGAGTCTCATCCATTGCAGAGAAAGCCAGCTGTGTGTTCAAGCAGTGGCCTTAAGCTGCTACGAGCCATTCAGGCTTCTCATTATTCAATGTTTCGGGAAGGAAATGTTCTCAAGAGGAGGCTGGAAGCGGTCCCTGTGCAGCCACAAAAAAGAGATGGAGCTGCAGCAGCTATTTTATAGCTACTTCAAAGGCTGCCTAATTCTGGTGCCGACCTAGTGAGGGCAGGTAAAGCTCCCTGGCAACCCTGGTGCATTTCCCCAGGGCTGCCAGCCCCTATCAGATTGCACACCTGATTTCACATAGTGCCTGTTACAAGGCTGGCCTCAACCTCCTGTCCTCAGGAGACTCTTGCTGAAAGTGGGGGGTGAATTCCTGCTCACCAAACAGTGCCTCTGTGCTCACCCATATAATCAGCAGAGTAAAAGAAACATGTCTCTTACAGACAGCTTGAGCTGCCAAGAGGAAATAATGCACAGATACTGCAGGCTTCACCAGTGTCCTTCAGATCTGGTTTGCTGGGATCCCTTTGCAAGTCAGGAAGGTCGTCTTGAGTCACAGCTCTTCGTCTTTTGCCCAGACCATCAACAAAGTGATCCTCAAGCCAGCCACGCTTGCAACCTGTTCTTGCCAAAGCCGTTAAACATGTCTCTTACAGACAGCTTGAGCTGCACAGATACTGCAGGCTTCACCAGTGTCCTTCAGATCTGGTTTGCTGGGATCCCTTTGCAAGTCAGGAAGGTCGTCTTGAGTCACAGCTCTTCGTCTTTTGCCCAGACCATCAACAAAGTGATCCTCAAGCCAGCCACGCTTGCAACCTGTTCTTGCCAAAGCCGTTAGGATCAACAGGGAAGGATCTCATGGAAAGCAGTTCAAAGCCATGCCAGATTTTCTCAGGCAGCACTAAGGAACAGGGTGTGGAGTGTCCTCCACATAAGATAACACCAGGAGATCAAAACTTAAGCCTACAGTCCCAGGACTGTGGGATACAATATGTATAGCAGTTAACTGGCTGATTTTCCAAGAAATATAGGCAAATTAGCAAGTAACAAGCCATGTCCACATAAATGCTGGTGGACCTGTGAAGTTGCAAAGCGCTTTTGTGTTTCTGCAGCCTGCAGAACAGCAATATTGATCTCCATCTGCTGTAACCTTTAATGAGCTCACAGTCTCCCTGAAGAAGGCAAGTGTTGGTATTTCTGCTTTTCCAGGTGACAGACAGATCCAAAATAGCTGAGGTGCAAAGGCTCAAAGGCACTTCATTGCCTTTGAGGATCTGGGGGTAAATGAACCACCTGGATAAAACAAGTGGTCTGCAGCACAGCAGGAATCCCAGGGCTGTTCTAACACCTTCTTCACTTGGCATCCTCCCTCTGAGGGACAAAGCCACAGAGGCGTAAGCACAGAACAAGAAGCTCCTCAAAATCTTCACGGTCGCCTTTGAGAACACGATACAGAACTGGTCATCTTCTTCAGACTATCTTTTATCTCCTAATTCTGGCTGGCAAGGGAACAGCCGGCTAGGGCCTGCATGTGTGTGGCTTCTGTGTGGATGCCCAGTAGAGAAATAAGGAGTTTCTTGCCTTGCACCGCTGCCCACACACACGCTTTGCATCCTCTATCAGCCATACTTGAGTTTGCTAGATTTCAGTGAAATAAGATGATGGAGAGACAGCTTAACAAACAGTATGACTACAAGTAGGCTTTTCCAAGGGAAGGGCTTTAATTCCATTGATAAAGACAGGTATTTTTTTCTTTCCAAGTACAGCTAACTCATAACATCAGTAACATCAAAAATTTTCACATAGTCATAAAGCAAGCAGAAATGTGCACGGATGTTAGGGCACACAACACTTGGATGGGTTCTTTTTCCCTCCCACTAACACTGTTTTTGTTTTGGTAACAATGTACATTGGCTACCACAAAAACATACTTTGTGTCCATCTCTCTGCTGTTACCAAAATGAAGACTCCATTAAGGCAACTACTACTATAGCCAGGTACCCAACAGGTATACACAGTGGATTAAGAACAAAGAAGTCACATTTGTTGTGTAGCTCTCTGTGGGGCTTGATGTGAAAGGAACAGCGCAGTGGATGTGACTCGTATTTAAAATGCACAGACTGACCTTCGGTCAGGCAGCAGAGCAAACTGCCAGCTTACTGTTCATCTGCAATAAAAGTCAGGGAGAGAGAGAAGCTGCTAAACTGTGTAAAAGGACTAGACACCACTACCAGAGAAACTGTTTGGGGTTTGTATTTTTTTTAATTCTTGGTTATTTCTATTTATTCTTTCCTCTCCTCTTTACTTATACTTAGAGCCCTGAAATCACAGCCTAGATGTGGAACCAGCCAAGAACCGGAACTGGTCCACCTCTACCCTCTCCTCCCTCCAAGCTGCAAACAGATTGCTTCTACAGACCAGAGCCTGCATTTCAAATGTTACCACTGACTTTTGTTCTGGGTTTCTTCTAGCCAGACAGTCTGTAGCAGAAGGAGGTGGATGCTGGAGCCTGCAAGGCTGGCTCTGTGGTTAGAGGTGTGCCCAAAGGGCTGATCTGCAGCATCAACAACTGGCAGATAGGTTGTAAGATTTCGAAGAGCTGATTTGGCAGCTGTTGTGTCCTACCTTGCCTAGCTACAAACCCGCTTGACATGTTGTTCCTGAACACAAAACACTGCGCACTATAAGAACTTCACATTGAGCACAGGGTCAACGAGGGGAAAGGAAGGCAGTAGGGAAGGAGCGGAAGAAAGACATCTCGTCTGAGCCTTGCATTTGGGATCACATGAGTTCACACACTCTTCATTATTCCTAAAACATGGTTCCAGTATTGCTGTTCTGGCACATGTAGGGCTTTCCTAATGTTAGCATCCAGCTAGATGCACCAATATCTTATTTCCCTTCACAGATTCAAGACATGGTTCCTAACAAAGCAATCAAATCACAGAAACACTGTGGATGATTTAAGTTTAGACGTTCATTTCCCATAAACAAAAACAGAAATGAAAAACCTGCTACTTTTTTTGGATAGGTTTCAAAATTTGAAATCCATGGGTCCCCTCTGAAGTGACAAGTATTTTTTTGTTTGGGGTTATTTTCTTGTTTGTTTGTTTGTCAATGAGGCTCTCCAAAGTAACAGTGGCAGGAAAACTCCCCATAAAGAATTTCAGTCTTCCAGTGGTTTCAGCATGTCCCAGTTGGCATTTCCAGGCCTCTCCCCTTGGAGCGTAGGAATCAATCCTCTTGGATTGCAGTTTCAGCACACAACATAGCACTGCTGACATTCAAAGTCCTAGGGATAAAGGCATCGGTGCGTTCCAGCTCTCACATGGCAGCCAACGCCCTCCACTGAAAGCCGTGGTAGTTCTTTGCTTGACAGATTGGGCTTTTCGCAGACCCCCAGACAGCTCCAATGGATCAGCGCCGCAGCCTGAGAAAGAACGCGTGCTTGCACTCCTTGCTGTCCAACGGATAATATTTGTCATAAAAATCCAAAATGTATTCTTCAGTCTTAAATCCAAACTTTTGGTAGAGCAGCATAGCAGGGTTGCTTGCAGAGACGTGAAGGGTTACGTCTTTGCCCATGCAGGTCTGCCAAGGAAGGGGGGGAGTGGGGAAAAAAAAAAAAAAGTATCACAGCAAAAGAATGAGACAGCCTCTGGGGGAATGCGGAGGTGAAGAGATTCATCATTTCAGGTATTCAGGTTACTGAGGAAATGTGAGAAAATCGCAGGCCTCGACACAGAAGTTACCACACATAGCAACAGCTGAAAGGCAAAGGGAACACTGCTGTTCCTCTGAGCCTTTGTTTCTGGGAAACATGGACTCTCTGACAATGAAAGCAGGTTTTGGACTATAATTTGTCAGCTTTCCGTTGTCAATTGCTAAGTAATTGTTAATTAAAAATAATCTCGGTGTACAGCACTGATCTCAAATACTTATTAACAATGGCCTGAAGAAAAGACAAAACATGCCAGAGGATCAGGCGCCGCGCTCCTCCCCGTCAGCAAACAGAGCTGAGCTCTCTGGGACCATGCGAGCAGCCCCAGCACACCTCTGGGCTGTCATGCTGGAATTCCTGTCTATCCCACCCAGCTCCTCTCCCATCCTTCAGGGCACAGCACTCGCCTCCTGAGAAGGCAGGGAGTTCAGTTCAGACAGCAAATGGCATGGATGAAGTTACCTTAAAGATCCCAGATTATCCTAACCAGCAGCTCTCTGATAAAGATGCCGATATAATAATTTTTCCCTGCTTTCATCTAGTGTTTTAATAGCATTCTATTTATATTGAATGTATTGTAACTCTAAGTGGGAACAGTAACACCCTTTAGGAAATTTCCATGGTAGATTATTCAAAGGGAAAGCTCTCACAGGGATTTAAGGGGGGGGGGGAGGAGAGAAGTAAAATAATCTGGATTCATTTTTGGGAAAAGGAAGTTGGAATGAGATATTAAGAAGATGCAGTTTGGTCCTCTGGGCCAGATGCATTAGAGGATAACTTCTGAAAACAAACCCATCATCAAGGCATCATTTGCATCAATACATTTTCTGTTAGATTATGCTGTTCCCAAGAATCCATCCCCAAACTCAGCACGCTGATCCAAGAGACCCTTAATCCAAACAGCGTATGAAAGTGGCTCTAGCTGCAGAGAGCAGACCCTGGTGTCAGCCCAAGCAGGCTGCAAAGCAGCACATACAATCTGGTGATTGAGGAGCAGAAGGTCACAACCACCATTTCTTCTCTTCCATGACTAAATGCCTTCTACCACTGACAGATACTCAGCAATGGAAAAATAAATCTAACATAAGCCAACAATACACTGTTGATCTCTCATTGCTAGCAAGCCTAATCAGCCTCAAACCTGCCTAGCTCTCCTCAATGTGGTAATTTTATGCTAGTCTACCTGCAAGCAGAATTAGGTTAATTGGGTGTGATACATCCCACAAAAAGCTGTGATGATTTTCTACAGCTGACTTGCCAACACATCCCAACTCTGCTGGAGAGACATGAGTCCAGCCGCTGGATCCCTGCAAATCTTGGCGCATCACTTGCGCCTGTTCTCACTAGGTGTTGACATCTCACATCAACAGACTACAGTTGAGGGCAATTTACTTAAGCACTTTACACAGAGACGCTTGGGAAATGTAAGGGGTGAATTTAAAGTAGATTGGTTAGTGGCTGTGTCAACACGTAGAGCAAAGAGAGGTGGACACTGCAGAGAGCTGTGTAGGTAGAAGAGTTACCCTCGGGTGGCCCGGAAGAGCTACCCTCAGCGGAAACTGCTTTTCCAAGGTACAGGTCACTGTTCCCAAGGCTCTGCCAGCACTCCCTACCTCTCTTCAGCCAAATGAGTATGAGGAAAAAGAGTTTCAATGGTGAGTTTTTGCTAGTGCAGCTCACCTTGACTAAAACAAGTTAAGAAACGTTTCGTATCGGCAGCTCTGCCAAGAGAGTTCAGGGAGTGGTAAAAAACTGTGAGCCCTGAAGAGGCACAGTTGGGCTCTGAAAAGGACATCTGTCTGCATCCTGACTCAAAATTAAGCTGGCTTTCCTGCAATTTAATTCAAGAAAGTGAATGGAATTAAGGCCACCTGAATAACAGTATTCATTCAGAGATTTAATGAAGTTTAACTACTTTAATACCACCCGTTTAGTTAGCTCAGATTAATTTTCCCAAGTGTCCCTATGGAACAAAGCCCAGTACAAGCTAGTTTGAACAAATTTGAATGAGGTTGCAAACACTTATTCTTTATCTTCAACTTAGCTGGATTTGAACCAGAGTATTAAAAGTGAAAGAGAATGATTAAGATCAGTAAGTGATTTAATGCAACGGCCCTGGTCATGGAATAAACCTCCAGGTGTAGCCAAGAAAGCTGCAACAGATTCTAACTGAACCTCCCCACTATTATCTCATTTTCTCCTTTAAACCCCTAATTTATGGTATTACTGTTATGTGAACTATTGACCACTGAAGAACACAAAGTTAAGCCCAAGACAGTCAAAGTCTACAGCACCTTGCTAATTCTGAGGACCTGTCCAGTATGGTTCTAAATACATTTTAGTTTCTGCTTTTGAAGCGATTTCCCCCCATAAATGTTCACATGGGCTGCTGACAATCTGTGCAGGTGTGTAAGCAAAGAAAGGGCAAGGAGAAAGAGGCAGAAAGGAGGAACACCTCACTACTTCCTTTCTAATATTTGCATGTGTGCACACAAGGAAGAAGGGAGAGCTAGTTCTTTAGCAAAGACATGGGATTTTTTTCATTACCTGGATAAGATGGTAAATCATGAAGGTTGCAATCCCAGCTCTTCTCCACTCAGGGTGAACTAACAGAAAAGAGATGTAAGCTTCATTGTATTTCACGTCTGGCACCATAAAGCCAAAGGCAATAATAACTTTCTTGTAAAGGACGACAACACTGAAGTCTGGATACTGCAGGCATTCTGACAAATCAATTCCTATGGAGAAAGAGAGAAACAGCAGTTGAAAGCATTGCAAACCAAAAGAAAAGTGTCACACTTGCACGGAAATTCAGGGGTTTAAGGGCTTTTAGAAACACTCACTTGATCCCTTCCTTTTACCTTTATTTCAAAGCTCTGATATAGAGAGATGCTTCAACAAAACACACAGACAAAACGAGACCTGCTTACTAGTGGGGATTTTTGCATGGAGAAATTAACAAGGCTGATTTCCTCCCAAATGACTCGAGGATGAAACCAAAACTCAAAAAAGCGCGTTGTCTAAAACAGGATGGGGAAAAAAAAAAAAAAAAAAAAAAAAAAAAAAAAAAAAAAAAAAAAAAAAAAAAAAAAAAAAAAAAAAAAAAAAAAAAAAAAAAAAAAAAAAAAAAAAAAAAAAAAAAAAAAAAAAAAAAAAAAAAAAAAAAAAAAAAAAAAAAAAAAAAAAAAAAAAAAAAAAAAAAAAAAAAAAAAAAAAAAAAAAAAAAAAAAAAAAAAAAAAAAAAATCGTATGATCTCAGCACCCAGCTAATCTTCCCTTGGTTTGTATTCTGAGCCATATCAGCAGACTCTGCTAAGGACCCAGTTGTAAATATGCATGTGGATAAAGATACTTGCATGTGCAAATGTTTGCTGGATTGGGTCCTAGTAAGTTTGTGCCCCTTGCCCAGGGCTCCTAAAGGCTGCAGTAACATTAATGGATAAGGGTTTGCTTCTTCATTTCACCTGGGCTGGGCCAGCACCAGGTTGGTGTACACCATTCCTATTCCAGCCGGCAAATGCTGATGACCCCTTTGCAGACAAGCAAAGGGGGGCAGTTTAGAGTGTATCAGCCTGATACACTGGGTGAACCATCCCGTCCTTCCTGCAAACTCTCTCCAGACGCAGCAGACATGAAACTGGGCTTCAGCTTTGGCAGCATTACCTACCTAAGGTTCCCTTCTCTTTTCTCCACCTGGCCTTGAGCCCCTGCTGCTTCCTCTTGTGCATACTCAGCTGTTTGTGGAGCTGCACTGTGAACCTGACCACAGCTTTCAACGCTATCAAAACATTAGCTTTTCGCATGCAAATTCCCTAATCTGGGGCATGAGGCAGCCTCTCAAGCAGTGGTGGTTCTGTGAGTCAGAGGCTGGACAAAAACACCTGAGGCTGGTGATTTCTGAGTGGAGTTTGTTACCTTGCCTAATCACATTGCTGCTACAGCCTAGGAGCATCCACACAGCATGTTAGGGCCAAGCAGTGCAGTTCAAGGCACAGAAGACTGCTTGGTAATTTGTGTGGACAGGCCCTAAATGAGGTGCAAGAAATAGCGGAGCTGTGCCATAAATGTTAGTTTCAGCCTCAAATTGGCAATCGCAGATATATTTGGAACGTGGGATAACAAAATAGCAAAGTACGTTTTCCAGTAACGTTTATCACTCTTGATGAGATGCAAGACTTCATAAGGCACCAGGCACAAATAAGCGGGTGAATTATTTTCTTGCTCGAGAGTAAGCTGGGTGGAGTAAGACGTGGGAGGAATCGATTGGCAATAGGGAGCCGCGTTAATTATCTCAAGGCTGCAATTGACTGAAGTGCCTTACAGCGTGTCTGTACAGGAACGCTACATTGCCCCAAGCACACTGGCGTCGATGAAATGGTGCCGTCCCCTCAGCACGCAGTTATTCCTGTAGGAAGATGCTTAGCTCAGTATGGTTTACCACTCGCCTGCTCAGGAGATGTTTCCCGTTAGGACATGAAGGCACAAGATACCGTGAGAGACAAGAGGGAATCTTGCTTCACATCAGCTCATTTGCGGTAACTACCTGCAAACTTGTTTCTGCTTTGTGAGAAACAAGAGCAGCTCTGACGGGAAGGATTTGGAGAGGTGGAAGAACTAAGGCCTGGCTCACCCCACCCAGTGAAGTGCCTAAAACTTAAGAATTCAGTCAATGAGAGCATCACTATTAGAAGGCAACTGAGCACACCTAAGATGTCATTTACTGACGACAGCATCCCCCAAGCACACATGCTTTGGATGCCTAAACTTAGGCGGAATTACAGCTGTTTCTCTGAACAGCAGTGCTAGCTTAATGATGTCCCCTCAGCTGCATATCCCACCCCCTCCTCAGTTGTACCGGCCCGTTGTAAAGCTAAACCCTTCGCATCCACAAAGACACTGTGCTTTATCTCCTGAAGTATCGCCTCCTTGCTTACCTATCCTGCTAAAAGAGAACCAAGGTGCCATAAATCATATAATCCCAGCCTCAGAAAATTTACACCACGGAAGAGATTTTGATTCCTGTTTGGGGACCGACAGGAGTGTCAGCTTTCTGATTTAATGATGAACAGTTCACAGTTGGGTGGAACACACCCACGCTCCTTAAGTTAAATAGAACAGGGTGAGTCCTGAAGAACTTAATGAAGGTGCGACCCAACTTGGCCAGAACTTCAAATGCATTATCAGAAGAGGAGAGACTATAACAAAGGGGTTCAGCCTCTGTTGGGATTGCGAGTGTCTCTCATGAGCTCCAAAACAGCTTGTGAAAGGGAAGGTATGCCACGTTATCTCTCCCCCAAATTGTACAGTTTGGACAACGAGTAGCACAAAGAGCTCTAACCCTGACTGCAGCATATGAGCACCGCTGAACTACAAACCCTGTTGAATCACTATCTGCAAGTCAAAACATAAAGCAAACAGTTACTTGGAATAAAGGTGTGTACTGTTTGTACTGGGCTTTTCTAAATTAGTCTGCCGTGTTGTTTGCTGATCAGAAGCTGATCCGTGCAGTAGATGAACATCACTATTATTATTTTAGAAGAACTAAAGACTACAGCCTCATAACTGCCCCCATAAAGGGCAGCCACTGTCCCCAAAGAGCCTACAGTTCAAGAAATGATACATAAAAATCGATACGCAAGCTTTTCCATACCTTGCAAATACTGAGGCTTGAAGAAATAAAGGACATCACAGTGAAGCTTGCAGTTTTAAGTGCAATTCCCAAATTTCACTCCGACATATCCAGCTTATAGCTGCTAGGAAGAAACTTTCTCATGAAGCTAGTGAGCAGTAGATCTCTGGTATAAAACTGTTGACTTCAGCCCTTGATTCTGCAAAACGTTTCACTGGATGCTTAATTTTAGTAACTGACTACTCCTATTGGCATCGATGGTGTTACCCAAAACAACCTATTTCTTTAAGTGCTGTGCTAATTAGGGTCTAATTGCCCAGTTCTAAATGATCTCAAAAGACAAAGACACCAAACCCATGTCTCCATCTCAACTGCATTCCTATGACATCAGATAATGGTTTTCTAAGAACCAAGCCAGACACCAACTGAAGAAAAATTTGGCCCAAGAATATTTTTTTCTGAACAAAACCACTTCCTTCTTAGAAAACCAAGCACTGAAGGAATCTTACCAGGCCAGAAGAATTCGTGGCACATGGAGTTTATAGTGGGGATGTGATTAGGGCGAACGTAGCAGTAATCAACGGGTGCTTCTGGCTCAGCCTTCCAGTTGAGATCATTCCTGTGTGGATATGCCCGGATTTCTGCCAGCAGCCTGAGTTTTGGGGGCTTTGTCTCATAATCACGCCTGCCAGTAACATGAAAAGCAAACACAAAAGGCAAGTGAGCAACAATAACTGCCACTGCAGCTGAATGGGTACTGCCCATGAAATATTTTCTGACATGCTCAACTTGGAACAAAAGAACAGAGTCTTCCTTTCATGTGGGAAAACAGCACCCAGCTCAGCAAAAACACCCTTGTGTCAGAGGCCAGGACACTTCCCAGATCCGCAGCACGCCAAGCCAACCTCTCCTTACAGCAGGAGCAAGGAAATCACAGTTCTGACCCAAGAGCAGGTGCAACTTGCATTGAATGACTACAGTCATTCTCTGCCCTGCCCTCTCTTGGAGATTCCCTTTCCCAATGCAGAGCCAGTTTAACTACTCAGCTAAATAAAACACTATCCTTTCAGGGTTACCATAGTATACTGGGTTGTACTTCAAGGATGAGTGAGGAGCACTGCCCAAGAAAGGTGTCCTCTCCGTGGGCTGTCGGTTCACAAGCCAAGAGCAAATTCAACCTCTGACCATCTGTACCTGATGTAAGGTTTCAGGACACGGGATGTGTAAGGACTGACAATACTGTGGTCTGTCAGCAGGTCTTCTGAGCCTACCAGTCGATACAGAAACTTTGTTGTCTGCTGTCGATACCCCTTCATGGCAGGCAGCATTGTCTGTATGTACAAAAAAACGCAGAACATTTCAGGAAGATTAGTCAATGACTTAACACAGGGGAATCATATCAACAGAGGGGGAATAAGGGCCTTTCAATCCAACAGGATGGACTGGACCCACATCATGACGGTCCCACCTCAGAGGACTCTGCTGCGCACTCTCGGATTTAGCACCCAAACCTATGAGCCGCACACATCACTCAGAAAAGCACTGCAAGCGATCTCCCTCCTACATAGCATGAAAGAGCAACCACCTATTTGGGTACTTCCAGGCCTCCACCATCATTGTTTGGGCAGGGCTGGAGTACAAATACATAGACATTTATAGTGCTGACACTGATAGACAGCTGTGCTGTACAAGCATGTTCCAAGAAGAAAGGGGCTTGTGAGAGCATTGGTGGGGACACAGCCCCAAGTCACAATGAGTCTTGTTCACATAATCCTTCTCACTTTGGGAGTCAGATAACCTCAAGGCAACACTGCTGCCTGCAGCAAAAGCTCTAAAATAACCAGTGCCAAAAGCTCACTTAGATTTGGAAACACTCACCTGGTATCTGTCCAAGATCCTGAAGTCCTGGCTAGTAGTTCTGTATGTTGCTTGCCCTACTGGGGACCTGGAAACACCTCCTTCTTTGGCTCCGTAAATCCCATCAACCAAGAGCAGTGCAGCATTCACAACTTGGTCCAAGTCAAAGAGCGGCAGTCCTCTCTCCCTCTTGGCCTGCCTGACTATCAGCTTGCGCCTCAGTCTCCGGGCCTCTGGGGTCATGCTCGTGGCATTGGGACAGGCTTCCAGTCTCTTCAGCAGCAGCTTCTCCTCATAAATGCTAACAGAGGTATGCTTGGGAGCTCTGGGTTTAGCATCCTTCTCCAGCTGTGGCTTCCTCTTGTCTCGCCCCCTCACCTGCAGCGATGCATTTGACTCTTCAGGATCTTCACTGTCACCTTCCATCCTTTCTGTTTTTTCTTCTTCGCTCTCTACCTCTTGCTTGATCTGCTCAGCTGTCTTCACTTTTTTTCTACTTGCTATCACAGTGCCAGCACCAGCTGTCCCACTGGGAGGGGGCACATACTCTATTCCTGGGTCTATGACTCCATCTCCTTCCATTTCCTCATCATCTGTTCAACAGATCAAAATAATCCAGGAAAAAAATGTAAACGTCAAAGCCCCATTTCAAAAAGGGTTGTGACAGGACTTTTCTGCTAAGGAGAAATAATGCGGGTTTACGCGACGCGCTCCATTTTCTATATACCTCCTGATTTTGGACAGGAGACGCCATAAGGAGTCCAATTTCAGGACACAGAATCAATCCTGCTCCTAAAGAGTCTTGCAGTTTCGCATCCAAAAACATGGCACTCCTGAGCTGCAAGTTCATGCTCTTTGACAAGTGTTAAATTGTTGAAAATTCCTGAAGACTGGGGATCAAATGGTCAAGCTGGGGAGCTGTATCTTCAGCTAACATACCCTGGAGAAGTTCTGTTTAAACTGAGGGAACAGTTAGGAGTCACAGAAGCACAGGATTTGTCCCTCTACAGAACGTGACTATCTTTCCTTCCAACAAGAAATGCTTTATTCTCGACTTCCCCAATTAGATTGAGGTCTGGCTCCTTAAGGAACTAAAAGCATTCAGCCTGCATCACTGCTTTGCAACCTGACTGAAATGTAACATTTGTTAATTGGGATGTTTGAACTTATAGAACTACTGGAACATTACCATGAGAATTAAATTTCTCCCATTTAAGAAACAGTTGAGGCAAAATTAGAGTTGCTATCTAGCAGCGTAATCTGTGTTGCAGTGAAATGCTTATGCTGAGAGGTGCAGCGGTTGCTAGGTGAAACCTTCTACCCAGTGTTTATTCAGGATCCCTCAGAAGACAATAATGGTGGTTCCTTCTGGCCTTAGAAGCTGGCAATACAACTATGGAAAACTAATAAAGATTTACATGCAACTAAGACAAACAGAATTTTACCACTTACTTTCTATCTTATCTTGAAAACATCCTGCAGCTCATTGGAAGTTTCTTTTTTTTTTTTTTTAACATCTTCCTTAACCGCTATGTATGGCTTATTATTAAAGAAAAAACATGACACCTCTTACCATGAAAGAGAGCCTGTGGTGGCATGACATCTGGGATGAGATCTGCTTCTGAGAGAAGGCTGGGAGTAGCTGAATGCGAGGCTGGAGTGCCAGGAGCAGAGAAGTCCAGAGATGGGGAAGGAGAAGGGCTTGTCAGAGGAGTGCGATCTGAAGAGCTCAAGGAGGAGAAGTCAATCACCTCTCCTTTCTCAAGGACGATATCGGGACGACGGCCTCGACTGGTAAATTTAACAGGAGTGGAGGAAGTACTCCGGTCCAGAAAGCCAGCTGCCTCCTTCTGGGCTCTCCGAATATCCTTGGCTTCCTGAGTACGAGATCTCTTCTCCTTCAGCTCCATGGCCGATTCGACTGGATTGCGGCTTACCCGCTTCCTGAGTCCTTCCACAGTAATGATGGGATCCAGAGGTGGCTTTGAAGCTGCTAAAGAAGTAGTTTGCTTATTCTAACAGACACTGAGCTCCTGCAGTCACTGGATACATACTATACAGTCAGAAAAACACATTGACCACAAATCTTAGAAGATGTATTTTCAAAATACACAAGAAATTCACTCTGGGACATGTAGCCAATGCACCACTAAAGCCTCATTTAAGCCCCAATTCTGCTCCTCTGCACAGAAGGGAATTTGCATCTAGTGCAGACAAAACATAAAAAAATCCTCCCCAGGGTAAAGAGAGGCAGAGAAATTGTAGATTTCAGCTACAAAAACCTGAACAAATCTCAAAACCTTTAAATCGGTTAGCACAATGCAAAAAGGCAATAAAATATAACAGGCTTCTCATACTACAGCATATGCAGCATAGTCCTCCTAAATCAAGCACTACAGCAGAGCTAAACTAAGAAAAAAAAAAATCATGCCCTGTAACTGTCCATACACACAAACACATTGTTTTAAGTAAACTTTTCTCATGTCTTCCAGCTCTGTCAGCTCTGTCCCAGCTGGGAACCTACACACCACTGGGGAAAGAGTTACCTTTTGCCTTTAGTGCAGATGCAGACAACTTCTCTCCTTCAGGTTTCATTGTTGGGGGTTTATTATGAACCAGTTTCCACCACCCCGGTTCTCCAAATTCCTGTGCCCCTGAGCGGAAAAACAAGGGGCTCCCCACAGAGAGACAGCCAGCAACCGTGCTCCACCATGTTGAGGTCTTTTTCCTATGATGGGAGAGGGGGAAACGTGTTAGGTCCCCACTAGCCAGCTGTGCTTTCATCCTGAAGCCTCCTCCCTCCTCCAAGATGGAAAGGGCAGAGTGCTTCTGCCACTGGCACTGATGCAGGGGGATGACGTACTCCCTACAGCCCCATCCTCAAAGAGGCTAAAGATCAATTCATTTCTTCTCAAACAGAGAACCACTCCGAAGGGCAAGCTACAATGTACTGGTAGGCTCTGATGCACAAAGCGCTGTGTACATGTGCTCCATAAATGCCATGCAAATGCAGCAAGGCGAGACGCAATTTTTCTTTTGTCAATGAGCTGCCATACGCCGAGCCTACAGAGGAGAGGTCTTCCCTGCCACTGGAACCCCCAGCTTTCAAATACTGACGTTGCTACCTTCATTAACAATTTGACAATACAAGAACGGGAACAGGATCCTAGCGATAGCTGTGTTGACCTGACATTGCAGAGCCGTATTCCATTACTGAAGATGGCAAACAGGACTCTGGGTGTACAGGATGGGAGAGGCAAAGGAAAGGTAGTGATAAAGGCATCACTTCACACAGAAGGAAAGACAAACTTAATTTAAATGCCTGCCTTGACTACTTTGACATTTCATTTAGCAAAGCACGTTCCCAGAGCTGTAGGATAGGATCCCTAAGGCTGAATTCACAAAGGGAGTTGGGATCTGACCACTCTGCCTTCCATGGCTGCAGCCTTGTCAGGCATGGCAGAGAAGCAGAGCTAGGGGTCTGAGAAATAAATCACCGAGGACAACGGAGCTGCAGGAAGTGGCAAGGTAACAGGGTATGTATGCTTGTCCCACAGACGCATGCGATATATACTGGAGCCCCATCTCTGCTTGGGGATTTCTGCCATAAAACTTCTCCTGCAGCATGGGGAAGAGGATCCCTACTAGTCAACATACCAGTCAACCACACTCACTGAACTATTTCTGAAGCACGCTTTTGGCCACTTGGAGGCAGGGAGCTGCATTTAAGCCTTTCATTCTGCAAGGCTCTGCTGCATTTAAGCCTTTCATTCTGCAAGGCAGTGTACTCTACTGGGCATCTGAGCACTTTTTGTTCCTCTAAGAACTGGTCACAGAGCTAACTAAAACATCATTTAGGGAAGAAGTAAGAAGAAATATTTAAAAATTGCCTCTCTAGCCAATAACTGAGGTACTCCCTTGGCTACTAGAGAATCAGGTTCATGGTGTAGGGTCTAAACCCTTATTTGCACAGGATCTCAGGATTCCTCCTTGCCTTTGCACACCTCCACTGGCAAAAACTTCACAGTACTTGGGCTAGGCTTGGCCAAGCAGGTATTCGCTGCTGTCTGAGTGTTACCAGTTACACACCTTGGGGTACTGACCCTCAAATGTGGGGCATTAAACTCAAGTGCCCCAGATCAGAGTCCGGAGCGTTACAGTAAGTCTGGATAAGCTGTGCTTTAATATGCCAAGGAAGTAAAGCATAAACCTTGAACCGCTACACACATGGTTCAGCTGTCCCTGCTCCATCAGTGGCTTGTCCAGGCAAGTGGGAAGACTACGTCTGAGGCCAGTAATCACTTCATCTGAATTTAATCAGAGCAAGGAGTGCCCAGTTCCCAGGGCAGGTCTCAAAAGGCAGCAGCAAACCCTGGGAGGTGATGGCTCCCTGAGCGAGGGACAATGGGCCATCAGCTGCCTTCCTGTCAGGGTCCCTGTTGTTTCCAGAGGGGACAAATGCTAACATTTCTGAGAACAGAGCAAGGAGGCACAGACAAGCAATGAAAGCAAAGCCAAAGAGCAAATCTGGCTAGGGAGAAAGGCCAGATCTTACAACAGAGAAATCCCTGGGGAAGAAAAGAAGCTGTGAAGTCAATCAAATCTACAACTTCGGAGACTTGGTCAGTTCCCTTCCTGCCTCTGTAGCACATGCATTAACAGTGAGACGGGTTTGACAGCTTCAGCACGCTCAGAAAAGATGTGCCGTTCACCTATACAGCTCACAACTCATCATGCTGCGAAGGCTGCCCTTTACGAGAAGGGTTCTTACCCTGACAGCTTCTTTCTTTGCACACACTGAAAAACATTTCAGTGGTTTGTAATGCCTGCTATGTAAAAGCTATTTTATTAAGATCCAAAACAAGCTAACAGACAAGGCACAATTTTCATTTTTGGAGAACTGGGTCCATGCAAGCTTTATAGCCAAGTAAGATGGTACTTTGCTGGACCTCTTTTTTTTTTTTTTCTTTAAAGCCCAGTGACATCAGGACTAGCCCGTCTGTTGTGTCTATTTAGAAATACTCAAAGGCTTTGCAGGTTCATAGGCTACCTACAGGAAGATAAGAAATAACCCAAAATATATGCATTTACATTGCTTTTGTGTGACATTCTTGGGGTTGTTTTTCCCTACTAAGAAATGCTTATTCTTTCTCAAGAGTACCCCTCATGCCTACATTCAGGTTCTCAGTATTAAATCCTCCAATTTTCTCACTAGTGAGGCTCAATAGAGACATCACCAAATTAACCAGGATCCTTGTCCATCTGTATAACAGGTTTTAATTCCTTTGGCTCACCAACCAGACCTTCAGGGAAACATCACGTCTTTACCTGTTTCCTAATAAGAAAGTCCAGTGTTTCTCAATAAAAGCACAAATATCTTCTTTCCATCTGAAGTACCCCTGACGGCCCGTTCCTTCCAGAGACAAATTGTACATTGCCAGCATGACAACCTGGAACAGAAAGTGTTGGATACAAGTGAATCTTTTCTGTTTCATCTGCTGAACTGCCTCCCCACAACTGCCACACACACAAATTTTTGCTCCCTCATAAATATCTTGTTTTTGCAACATCTCATAGGCAACTTCTGCAATCCATCTTCCTGCTTTCATGCTGCCCATTCTCGTCTTTCTATTGTTAGATGCACATTCTCCCAGAGACTTCTCCATCCCAGGGGAATAACAAGCTGCCTAGTTATGCAGGTTTATGCTGAGATACAAGCTTTTGCAGCAGTTGTATAAATGAATTATATCACAACTGGGATCTGAATGTAGTGTGGAGGTAGGGAAAAAGTCTTTCAAAAAAATGGTCACAAGTAATCCCACTATCTAATCCATCTAGTGACAATCATCCTTCTAAATACTTACTGTTACATTTCAAACTGAACAGACTGTAAACTCTCTGTAAAATTACATGATATCAATTACATGAAATTGTTCTGGGTATAGGAGAATTAAGTTTGTCTCCAGGTGATCTTCATTAAACACAATCCATTTACAGCTCATTCACGTGCTTCACAACCAAATTCAGTCTGACCCATTATATGCCTAAACTAAAGGGCAGGTTTGAAAAATATCACACCTCTTTGTAAGTAAATCCTAGGTGACCAACTGTTAATTACATTTACCCAATTCATTTGAATACAACTAAAATCAGCTGGGCTGGGACCATCTTTCAACAATCACACAGCCTTGGTTACTGCTGTGTAAGTAACTAACTATCCAGTAGCCTTGGATACTACTTTCCAATAGGGACTTATTCTTCACTGTCAGAGGAGTTTGAAATGTATTTTTCTTAGGGAGATGGGTCTCCTTGCAGTAGGCCATAGTTTTCTGGAATGCATTGCTGAAGATGCCAAAATGAGGAAATACAGACAGCCTTAATGTCCCCTGTACCCTATTTTTGCGTCGCAACCCCTCTTAGCTTGATAACTATTTATCTAGGATTTTGTGGTTTTTAAGTCAGGTGGGACAGTGTCTCAGGACTTCAGAAACAATTCTCTTTTCATCTGGCTAAAGATAAGGATCTGTTGAGGCCACATACTCTGAAAAAAAAAATCCAGAAATCACTGTTCCCATTTTGCCTACTTCAGATAAGTTGACCGCTTCCCTCAATTCGGCTTAACCCAGAAGCAGCAGCAGCTCTGGCTGCTGGAAGCCTAGGGAGATAGTTTCTTCACTAGTCAACTTTCTTCCTCACCCGTTTTGATTTTGTCTGTCCCTTCTCAATGCCACTCTGAAGAGACCTGGGTGTAACGCTAGCAGCCTTTGCTCTCCAGATCTGTAACTTGCCGAAACTCTGCCGGTCTGCTAGCCACAGACTGCTACGCCAACCTTTTCTCCTGCGCAGCCCTGCACTGGGCACCATGAGAAAGCACTGCAGGAGTTACAACTGATGTTTTAAATGATGTATTATGAGACAACACACCACTACTGTCCCAAAGGATGCAAATAGATGTCTCGCACATACTGCCCGATGCTCAGCATGTGGAAACACTTAAGGCTGAGCAACAGCTACCGCCTGATCAAATTCATTTTGTGCAGAGGCAGCCAGCACTGCCTGCCTGCCCCTCCAGCACCCTGCTTAGAGCAAGATGATTGTGCATCAGTCTACCCATACCGTGGTTGCCGTATAATGCAAATTATTTTGATTGCTCAGGTGTACAAGTGACTGAAATAGCAAATTCCAGCAAGGACTGTTGCTAGTGAGTAAGGAGCCAGGTTGGAGCTTTGCGTTCAGGGAGCTGGCAAGCTTTCTGTTTATATGTTGCCACCTCACTAGTTTTACATTTGCTCATATACACAAAAAGCTGTTCATGCCCAGCAGCCAAATTCCATTCATTTTGCTTTTCCAAACCTGCCTGAAGCCATGAATTCATGAGCAACATAAGGGGAAGAAAAAAAAAAAAAAGGAAAGAAAAAAAAAGGAATGTGTTTTTTATGATTATCTTTCAATCTACCTGCCAAATGCCCAAGTTCTAATATGCAGGCAATCCTTAGCTAATTAATTTCTGAAGTTCATGTATATATTTCTTTGTTACCTATACCTGATCCTCCTTTTCTAGGTAGCACATACACAACAAACAACAATTTTAGAAAGTCCCGTGGTTGTTCTGCTGGCACAAACGTTTTACTTACTTGTTGCCATGTTAACCTCAGCCGTTCAAATTGCTCCTTCCCATCTTCTGAGCAATCCGAGCAAGTAAATCTGAAAAAGTTATCTCCTTTGAGGTAGCTGAGCTGTTCTCTCAGTTGACCTAAAATGAATAGGCAAAAATCAATTTCTTGGTCCTTTTATAGGAAAAAGTGCTGCAAAGGAGATTTGGATTTCCTACAACATCAGGCAGAAAAGTACTTTTTGCCTTTTTCCCAGAGTCCAGAGACGCAGACAGTTCCCAGGAAGTGTCAGAACTCACTGCGATAGAAGGCGCAGATTCATTTCACGGTTGCAGCAGCCAGCAGTGACCAACTGAAAAGCGCAGGCATAAAAAAGGGGCGCTCTACTTAACATCTGAATGCAGGTACAAAGCCAAGGATTTCCTTGTTTCCACTGCATTTCTCATTCCTTCTTGCTTCCCCAGGATAACCTATATACTTCAACAAATAACTGTTTTCCCACTCTATCTAAAAAAAAAGCTGACCTGTTAAAAAAAGGTACGCTACTGCAAAGGCTATCAGAATATACAAGCTTTTTCTTCCATGTCATCTTTCCACTCACTGCTACGTGTCTTTACAGCTCCCTCTTTCCCTGTCCACAAAATGTTACTGAAGTAAGGTTGTCAGTCCCTGTTTACAGCAGCCTCCAGGATGCACTGGAGCAGACATGGTGTGAAGCTTTAAGGTAGCTTAAAGCTAACCCCACAAAAAAGTTTGTCTGAACAAAAGTGATCTGCTGGGCTAGGGCCACCTGTAAAACCCCACGCATCCAAAGTTACAGGCTCTAATTCTATGTTTCTGCAGCAGAGAAAAAAACATCGTATGAATCAGGACTTCTAAACTCACCAGGGGTTAATTTACACAAATATGAAAAATTAAAAAATAAAATCACAGGTCAGGGAAACAGTTAAGACTACAGCATTTCTGGAAATTCACACCCAAAAGGTCTTTCTTTAAAAGTGTGACATCTCTTTTACTGTAAAACAACACCAGATCAAGCATTTGCAATATATGGATGCTTTGCTTCCGTAGTGAATTGCAGAATCTAGCTATTAAAGTTGCACCTATGTCTGATGGGGAAACCCCCCCACACTTAGTAGATAACAGAATTTCTAGACGGCAGTTCAATGTAAAAAGTGATCATTTGTCTGAGCACGTTGGTGACTTTCACAAGCGACAACTGATATCCGTATAACTGAACAATTAGCAAAGAAAGCAGTATTTCCCTTTTCCATCTCATTTGCTTTGCACATTTGTATCTAGTTACTGTTGCTCTGTGATTGGCTTTTTCTGCTCTTTGGATTTGTTCCACAGCAATGAGAGAGAGGAACATCTTTGTAAAATAAAACAAATTGAGCGTTAAATCAAGTGCTCTAAGATATCTCATGCTACCTTTAACTCTGCTCCATTTTTTTTTTTTTTAATTAATACATTTCAAGTTAATACGTCCCTTTAACTGCATACTACCTTAATAGTACGATGCTGGTTCCATTACATTAACATCAAAACACTCACTAACACGCCTTGAGAGGAGATTTCTACACTAACTTTTGGCAATTTCTACACTGCAACTTTTGGCAAATTCTAAGATGGCAAAAAGGGCAGCTCTGACATATCTGCAAGGCAGGTGCCACCTGAAGAGTTCACTATTTCTAGCCACAAACAAACAAAAAAAAAAACAAAACCAAAAAATCAAACCCCCAAATTAAAAAAAAAAAAACCAAACAAAAAACAACCAGTGCTTAGCAATATCTAGCTTTCGGATCTAATAATAGATCCGATAATCCAGAATTTAGAAAGTAAAGTCTAGTCTGTTACGTTGCTAACAGCATATATCTTATGTCAAGCAGCAGTAGCAGAGGGATCAAGTTCTGCAGCTTGCTCCAAACACCTCCCAAAGCTAGCTGCTACAGGCTAGACACGCTTCTGTGAAAGCTAAATTAAATTCACATTATCAGGACACCATTAAGGTTGAAATTTAGCCATATGCTCCACAGATGTGACAAACTGACCAGGAAAAAAAAAATAAAGAAAAAGTAACACTGTCCCAAAGCCCTTTTCCTCCACAGGAAGAGTTTTACAGCAAGGGTTGTTATCTGAGTGAGGAGAGAGGCCAAGTCGCTTGGCCAAAGTCCCCTAAGCACACCAGCAGCAAGACTCGGGAGGGTGTGCATGTTTCTGAAGTCATAGCCTTGTTCTTTACTAATTAAAGAAGACAGTCCCATTTCTTTACAGGGAATGCCAGCTTCGGACACCCATACAGTTCATGGATCGAAGTGCCTAACGCACACCACCAGCATCAGGCTTCTGGGCTCCACACAATGCTCAGACAGCCCTTCTCCTCCAGCATAGGATAGGATACAGCTAAACAAGGGCTGTGCCATAAAACAGGTATGCAGGACAGCGTAACCACCTTGCAAACAACAACCCCAGCAATGCAAGTGAGACACCACACAGCCGCAGGCTTACTTGCTGGAATCCACTTCTGGCACTTCTCGCAGTAATAGGACATCTCCTCCATCCAGGACGCGTCACCTTCGTCACTGTTCAGAGAGTCCCCGCTCTGGTCGTGCGATAAATCCACCGAAGCCTGGTCCTCAGACTCAACGATGAGGAGGGTCTCCCCCTCCACCTCACCCTCCTCCAGTCCCTCTGAGGTGGAGGTCCTGGTGGCTTCATCATCGTGGCGGCTCAGCAGCCCACTCATGTGAACGTTATTAGCCATCCTAGATGGTGCTTGCGTTAACAAGGAGCTATTCCTCCCCACATTGACAAGTCCATCCACACTGGATGTGCTGGCCAAGTCTCCACAGTCAAAGTACCGATGACAGAGGAAATGTTTTGTGTCTGCCCTATAGCTTTTCGGACTGGACAACCTATACAAAAGAAACAGTCTTTCACAGATTACCTCTGTTAGCTGAAACACTTGCAAGTAGTTAGACACCAATGATCTCCAAACGTCTTTAATCAAACCTCTAATGAAACCTCAGGTCTGTGCCTAGGACTGCTGGGACCCTTTTTCCATTAGCATCTTGTCTCTTTCTTCCATAAGCTGCTTTGTCAAAGCAATCTGCTCTTCTAGCAGGCGAATATTCTCCTTTTTCTGATTTTGACGCTCAAGATCTCTGAGAACTCCACTGTGCAGCCTCTGAAAATACAAGGGACAGGGTTTATCACAGCCTGTTCGATGCTGAATGCGGTTAGCCCCCACCCAGCTCTAATCCCTCCTGCAGGGCTGTTCACCATGCCGCCTTTGCAAGTCCTCTGCCACCGCCTGTAGCCACAGCCACTTAACATGGTTTGAATCTAAAACTACAGGAGCTGATATCCGATATAGATAAATGCTAACGGTACTATACCAAAAAGCGCTTTATTTGTCCTCACTTCAGATGGGTGGGTTCACTAAGTGGTAAAGCTATCAAGCAAATAAATGCTATGCACCTGTAATTCCCATGCCATGCAGGATGGACATGATCTATAAAATCCTATTACCTCTGCCCTAAATCTTTACCAAATCAAACTAATCTCCCTCAAACTTCTCCTCTGCTTGGAGAGAATTCAATGGCAAATTGGAAATGATTTTAAGAAAAACTGCCATGTGTCTTCATCTGCTTCTTTGTGCTCATGTCTTACTCTTAAAAAAAATACCTTGTAAACTCTTGCTGCAAGGCTGACAAAAGTCCCACAGCCTACTTATGCCAAGCTCTTGAAAAACCAAGGCACTTCATTCAAAATCTCTCCCCTTTACCTAAAATGTTCATTATAAATAAAACGTGCAACAGACCAGCAGTTTTCAAACTAGTGGGTAAGCCCCTTAATGGGTGTAAAAAGCCCTAAGAAAATCCCAGCTGGCTTTTGTCTCCTCCTTACTCTTATCTCTCTCTCTCTCTCCCCCCACCCCACCCCAACCTGGAAGTTTTTTTTCACTCTGATAATTAGGTGAAATGTTTAACCTTTACCTCTCACCAGGGGAACACAAAATAAGTGAAACCAAAACTGGTGACATGGATTGGGGTGGGGAAAAGGAGGGGAGGGACTAGCTGGGAACCAGCTGCTCTACTCCAGATGTGCACCTCTGGGGGCAGGTGAGGCAGCAGAGCGATGTGAGCGGAGGGCTGATGAGATCAGACATGGGATGGAGGAGATGGCAAGGCTGACACTAACTCTGGAAGGAAACGGGGACCACGTGAAGCGTTTAATTGACTGGGCACGTGACATACAGCTGAGATACAGTTCCCTGGCAACTTCAACCGAGCAAAGCGGGTGCTGCTGCCATCCTTCCAGCCCCACGCTCCCCGCACTGCTCATCCCACCCCAGGGTCAGACAGCTCAGCCAGCAGAAAAGAACTCTCTCTCTTTTTTTTTCCTTCGCAAAGCAAGTCATACTCTGCTGATTTAACTCCCTGAGCTGGCTAACCAAAGACAAGTGCCAGCGCAAAGGAGAAGATGGGATGCCCAGTCCACTTTGGTGGTTTGGCTTGAACTCCTGGGGCAGGCGATACGCTTTTAGATACTCAGACACTTACTAGATTTCAAAGCAGTAGTCATAAGCTTATCAGAAAATATGATACATGAGGACAAAAATATTATAAATTAGTAAAACCCATGAAATTATTGTTGAGAGCCAACCCTGGCTCACATCTAAATCAAGCCGTGTGATCGCATTCGTATTTTAGCCCAACTAAAGATTAGAATCTTTAGTTGAAGCTAATTCAGTTAAAGCATTATCCACCTGCCTAATTTACCAACTCGTGCTCAGCTTGGACTCAGGAATGAGAAAGTTTCACAGGTACCGAGGTTAGCCATTGGATACTGGAGATATGAATAAATTATTTAGTCTAATGGCAAAAAAAGATTAATAATTTATTTGACCTGTTTGAATGATGCCAAAATGCACCTGCAAATAATTTATTTGAAAGCTGACCCTGAAGTCATTTTAGATGTTTGTGATTATTATTTGACAAGTTCTCACAGGGTTTTATTCTTCATCTAGAATGCCAATAACTGCACATTTCAAAGGCAATTATTTCTCCTGTCAAGATTAAAAGAGAAAGCTTTTGGTTAAGAAATATTTTATCTTGCTAAGAAAATGCACAGACACATATGTCAGCCAATAACCAAAACTCTCTCTGAAAATTAATCTAATAAAAACAGTTCCTTGCCATTGGCTTCAATCAACTGAACTCAGGTTACAAATTAGTAATTGCTAAAGACAAAATTCATAAACTCAGTATTTCACTACTATTAGTTAATAACAATAAAGAAAAGATGTGGGGAGATACAATGTAATTGAACAATTACATCAAGAATGTGATTCTTTTTCCTTCACAAAACACAGCTATTCGGCAATCTTTCAGATGGTGAACGCATTTACTTCGAAAATGCACAGTTCGCAACAGACACCTTTATAATTTGAGTATCACGAGCGACAGAGAGCTCTGAAAAGGTTAATCTTCTCACCTTCCTCTGTTCTCAGAAGTTAGGCCTGCTTGTCTTCTGCATCAGTTTAGATAAATGTGCGCAATCTCAAATCACTTTGTGCCTGGCATAACAATTTATAAAAGTCAAAAGTTTATTAATTTGCACAAAGATAAACCTGAAATAATCCCTACACCAGGGCTGCAGAATATCCACGTTACTTATTTCCATTACATTATCTAAATAACTGGGTTCCTTGAACTGAAGCCATTATTCCCTGACTTGAAGATGAAGAATTATAAAGAGAAAATCTCAGATTTCATTTATAAAAGATAAGCTTTGAGCATTAGCGCTTCTGAATAGCGAGTTAAACTGATTGCTGGGAAAAAAGAATTGATCATTTTGGCTTCGCTTCTGCAGCAGCAGCATCTTGAGGAATGCTAATATCCCTGCAAACATATACAGATTAGCATCAAATCCAGCTTTTGGGGAGATCACTTCTAACTCTAGAGGACTGGTTTGCGAACCCATCCCCATATGTACAGGTCAGGCACCTCTGAAGTCATGAGTTCCCGAGGCAGAGTTCGCAGGCTGTGCCCACGTCCGGGTGTTAGGACAGACAGCAAAGAATAGACGCTGGATCTGTCCCCCAAAACCCCCAAAAGGTTTTTGTCGCTGACCGACTGGATCCTTTGACCCCTCCATCTCTAGGACACTCAGCAAAACTGCCGGCAGCCTGACAGCAGTGACACTGACACCCTCCACAGCAATGGCTGCTTCCAGCTGTGGAAAAATAAGTTAAAACAGACCCACGGGGAGAAAGCTGCCCACCGTTGTCTCATTTGGGAAATCTAGGATTTCCCCAGGCAGAAGCTTGCAGCAGCGACCTTGAGTGTAACAACCAAAGCAATTTAACATTATTTTGCAAACCAAGCAACAACTACAGCATAGAGCAACAGCAACAGGCAAAAGGCAGCAAGTCCCTATTTTCTTCCTGGTATCATTAGAAAGGTATGAAGCAACCAGAGTGCATTAACCATGTCAACTCATTTGCTGATCCACCTCTCCTTTTACTAGAGTCACATTTCATACACTGGCGGAACGCACACCGTAAACTTGCTGTTGTGCCCTGTGTTTCGCACGTGAGTTACAGCATGGCCTCTACACGCCACGGGACCGCTGTCTTGTTCAGTGCTCAGCACGGATCCTGGCCAGGTACTCAGCCTTCAGTTTCACATTCCTTCTTCAGCCTGTTGCCCGAGGCATTACTTACTTCATGATACACAGATCCCGCTCTGACGGCAGCGTTACTCATTTACTTGTGGACTGTTTTATGCCTGTTACCTCTATAGAATATGAGTGTTTCGTAAATGTCAATTTAGTTTCATAGTCTATGAGATGAAGGGGAGACATCAGCCAAAGGTTAAGGTCAAAAACATCCATTAAGTTTAGGTGTCTTGCTGAAACACGCAAGGGTGATTTTTCTCAGAGCACGCGTTGTCCTGTAGCACGTGCTCAAAGTACAGCTCCCACTTGTTTCAGCTGTAGTTTAGGAGCATTTAGCACATGTTCCTGCCAGACCTTCGGCGGCTCAAGGCAGGCACACCGAATTAGCTAGCAACCACCTGCAAAAACCTGAGCTTAAGTGATCTACCCAGCATCTATGTCAGCTCCGGCTGAAGCAGAGCCGTTACCCATTGCCGCTCCAAGAGAGCAGCCTTCCTCTTCTTGCTACCGCCTGTGCCATTCAGTCTGTTTTCCAACTTCTGCAGCAAATTAACCTGCCTCTGTCCTTACCCAGATCAGTCTCATCCTCCAAGATCCATCATTCTCAAGCACTGACAGAGACAATCTCTTGAGGGAAAAAAATGTAATCCTGTAATTACGGACTGCAGCGTAAAGCCCATGCAACAGACAACTGAGCTGGGGTATGGACTAGCAACTTGAACTCTGGTGTTTTGTAACTTCTCACTGCTTCAGACCTTTAACAACAGTCATTTAACATGGGCTTTTTTTGTGTGCATTTTCTAGATTTTTTTGTAAATAAGGGGGGAAAAATCAGACGTGTGCCCTCGTATCAATACCCATTTGGCTCATCAGCAGGGTCTAACCCTGCACACTCATTGCCCAAACCTCTGCCACGCACAACTTACCATTCTGCAAACACACGACTGCTAGTCCCGGGCAGGATTTCTTTGTATAGGGACTCACCATCGTCTGACCTGACACTCTTGGCTGTGGGGCTCTCTTGCACACAGGGTGCCTGGCAGGAATTACCTGATTTTCGTAAATGTAGCACTGAAAACGTCCCTGTTTAATTATCGCACGGTATCTCTGTTAGCTTGCACTCTGCCTGTCCTCTCAGAACAAGAAGGGAGCCGGGGCCGGCCGCACGGCACAGAACAGCACTGTTTGCCCTACGGCGGGAGGCATTTGTGAAGCTCGGGAAAAGCAGAGCAGATGCACTGCCAGAGGGACAAGCACCAGCGGGACAGCACGGCCGGACAGGGGAGAGCCCTGGGAATGCTGCCAGGGTGGTGTCCTTGGGCCTAGAGGGTGCAGGACTACACCCTTCCTGCATCGTAACGCCCCCGGCTGCTGCAGAGGATG